CTCTCTCTCTCTCTCTCTCTCTCTCTCTCTCTCTCTCTCTCTCTCTCTCTTCTGTTCTCTCGATGCCGTTCTAAATGAATAAAAACGTTTTATAATGAACGCCAATCAAGTTTAGTTTCGGTTAATTCTAAATCAGAAGAATTCAGTCCTTTGCTTTATGTCACCTCGAAAATCGGGGTCAAATTCCCCTCGTGACGCTGACCAATTTTTCATCGTTGGTATATGATGCAACGTAACAAACTCACTGCAATACTTACATCTCATCGTGAACGTCATGTTTATTTATAACTATTTTTATGTTCGACATATTATATGCACGTATGGAAATATTCCACCACGAGGTGCGTTTCCAAGTTTGAGAATTGAAGAAAAGTTTCGTGCCGCTATAGATCTACCATGCGGCAATTTGACCTGACGCCTTTTTGTATCCGCGTCCACTATTCAAGCAACACTATTCAGTAGAGAGATTATCTACCTGATGCTACAATATGATGGCAGACCGGCTCAAGTTTCAGGTAGATCCCGAAATGCGACGAGACTGCATTCTTTAACAGTGAGTCCATCAGCGTTTCTTCTTCCCCGTTTCTCTCTCTTTCCTCCCCTCTCTTCCTCATCTCCTATCGTCTTCGTCGTCATCATCACTGTCGATCCTAAAAATACTGCATTCCTAAACCGTGAAACTACCGCCATTTCGTGTAGTCGCGCCACGGTTGTCTACCTTCCACTCAGAGGAAACTCGAGCGAGTCGACACCGTCGAACGGGATTCCAAAAAGTAGAACATCCGGCAACACGCTCGCTCATCTGTTCTTACGCGATCATCCGTCGTGCTTGTACGCGCGCGTATTCTGTGCGCGCAGCGTTTTTTGCCGGAAGGACAGAGACTGCTGGACACGAGAGAGGAAAAGACTCACATTAATATGTCGTCTTTCTGCCGATTGATCAGAAAATACCGACGAAATCGTCTACTCTTCTCCTTTCTTATGTCCCATTTTAAATTTTATACATTTTGCCGACCTTGGTGTTGGCGATTGCAGATTCGAAAGAACTTGCGAGCACATAAAAATCTTCCTTCTCTCTCGCGTGAATTATTACTATATACTACACGTGAAATGTTGATTTATATCTTTTAATTTTTATACATATACCTACAATATATTTCATATACAAACGTATTGGAGACTGGCATGGTACCGATTCATTACAGAGAAACAAATGTCGTGTTTTAGTAGTGGCCCAGTGCTAAACTATAGTATTAAAAAAGCAATGTTAATAGTATTTAATATAGTGTTAATAATCCGTTATCTGAATTGGATAGCTGTACCGAAACTACGCTCCGTGCTATGTTCCTAATGAAATCGGTAAAAGGAATTTTTCGGGCGCCAGTATCGAAACGAGATATATCGATACGGTGAATTTACGGTATCGCGTTCGTACTAAAATTCTCTGTATTGAGCATACAGAGATACATCTAGGAAGAGGAGAGTGTCGTGAGCGTGGAGCGTCAGGTAGCTCAGTGGTTTAGAGCAGTCGCCCGGACCCGGGTTCGAGTCTCGGCCTAGCAGGACCGCGCTCTCGATATTTTTCTCTTTCTGGAACGAGAAAAAGATACGCAGATCTCGAACGCACGGCGTCCCGCCGCCACCTAATATGCCCTCCTCCTTCTATTTTATAAAATTCTCTGTATCTCTGTATGCTCAGTTGCACAACTGTTCTTACACTGTTTTATAAATCTCTCTCAGAACTATTTTGGAATTACCATCTGTTATCCAGTAGGAAAATTTATCCTTTCAGAATCACGTAATGATTACAGTGTCCTTGAGATGTATAATAAAATAAAATATTCGGTTGATGAACCTTTTGAAAATGTAGAGAAATATAATATAATATAACTTTCAGTACAGAATCGATATTAATTTTCTGATACTATTTACGGTATTGTTTTTCGAATCTTGATCTATCACTCTTGTATTCAACCAATCGATATTTGATATCCAGTACTACGCTTAAAGAGTACAAAATAAAAAAAACTATTGGCCAGTACCACGCCAGTAGTTATTTTCTACTTGAGTGGTACATTACGTTTTATGCCAAACTGTTCCAATGGGGCTGCGATATCGGGCAGTGTGTTGTCAACACACTACGACGTTCCGTTTACCAGGAGAAAATAATGTTTTGTTCCTTGCACACGTTCCTCGAACAAGAAATGTAATAAATGCCGAAAGATGCTGCGTACGTGCACGGTGCAAACGCATGGCTGTTTGACCTTTTGAAAGAAAGGAAGGTCGTCATCGAGACTCTCTCAGAGAACGCGTGCAGCGGCAGCGCTGCATCGGCAACACGACTGTGTAATGTATAGTGCCTTACACATTTCTCTTCAATGGATTACACGTTGCAACAAAATACGATTAACGCCATTAATTGCGTTAACGCGTGAAATCAATGAGAAAATCGCTGCTTTCAACTCTTGTCGGAAATGGAAGAAAATCGAGATAGTACCGAATATTCTTCTCTAAAAACGAGCGATTACAAACATAATATGAAGCAACTTTCTAACGACACGAACGGCAAGTATATACATACATACATACATATACACGCATCAAGTCACACGATGGCGACTCGATTGGAAAGTGTCGGAGCAGCATCTTGCTTATCAATTTGGTAGGTTTACGTTGCTTTCATGATGAATGAGTGTCATTGCATACAGTTGGTATTGGGACGCATTAATTTTCCGTACAATTTCCCAATACATTACTTTCGACTAGTCCAAGTCAAGGGACTTTTGAAAGTTGCGCGAATGTAAATAATCAAACTGCTGTAATATATAGTATTTTTGAGAGGAACGATCGCACAAGAGATTACTTACGCGAAATTGGGTATCGACAAGCGATTCCGTAGAAGTTAGACTAGAATGCCGGAGCAAATATAGGTAAACCGATAACGCAACCAGTCGAACCCGTTGTTCGCCATTGCCATCGCGAGACATAGAGTTTCACTATTTTATCAAGTCCCTTTTTTCGAGAGTTCGTCAACCTCTAAGACATACCACCTGTACTAAAAACGATCGAGGTCGTTGTGTCCGTCGCGGCGCGGGTCACCGATTAACCGCCTTTCTTGTCCCCTGTGAGTTTACTTGTGTGTAGGATGATGGACCAAATATCCGATATCTTGGAAATGCTGGCTGATCCCACGATAAGACTGTCTTGTTTTTAATCTCTCTCTCTCTCTCTCTCTCTCTCTCTCTCTCTCTCTCTCTCTCTCTCTCTTGTTTTTTCAACAAATCACAAAAACGACGATAGTGCTCTTGCGATGATCTCTCTGGTTAGCTAAAACATGAAAATTACGTGTTTGCGATATATTATTCCAACTTTGTTTTCGAATCCTCTACACTCGAGTAGATAGCTTAATGTGATATTTCTCTGTGCAGGATGGGAGCTGCGAGGTATACACTGTTATAAATTTTTCGCCATCGTGCATTCCTGGGAAAAAGCAGCGGAATTATGCAGGAGGTAAGCTTTGCTTTTTAAGACTTGGCTAGTTTTAAAAATATGCTTGCAATGCTTCTTTCGAGAGTCATAAAGAATCACGTATTGTGCAATTTATCACTTAGGTGTCGTCCACGAGATGTGCTAATGACAGATTTGATCTGTCTGACTACAGACAGATTTGTAATTTTGATCTCGTTGGTCTGTTGCAGATATGGCGGCGAGCTGATGGTGGTGGACTCTTACAGCGAGAACAACATGTCGGCCAGCATGGTTCCCCCGAAATTGAAGCGTTATTGGCTGGGTCTCGCTTCGCTCGACGATTTACGAACCAACACACTCGAGTCTGCCGCAGGAATGCTCGTCTCTCAATATGCCGGTTTGTTTGCTCGGTTGCTCCTATCCTTTTGCTTCCTTCACGATTTTGTCTCTTTCGATGCGTATTCGTTAACATATATCTATCAACGATCGATAATCAAGTGTTCGGTGAGAAGTTGACATTTCGATGTGAGATTCGCGTGGGAGCGACTCCCAAAACTCCGGAGGGTTTGACCGCAGATCATGATTCTGCTTGAACTCGGTAAATTCTTTTCGAACGCATCATGCTGAAGACGCATTGTCAGTGTCTTATGAAATGAAGTGGCCGGTTACCGCGCGACGCGAACGTCTCGCGGAACAGTCTCGCTGAAAGCTCCGGTCTCGCACGCACTGGCGCGGGGCCAGTCATCTATCAGGGTCACGGAAACACGGAACTCGCGGCGGCTCATGGCACCGAGACACACTTTTCCCACAACAATGCTCCCACAACAATGCTCTCGTCTCCTCGTGAACGTGTCGTCATCCGCCGCAAGCTGCAATTCTCCCGTCTAGCGCATTCGCACTACCGCGTCCACGCTACTAAACACTGCACATCATTAATTAATTACGCGCCGAGTTCGTGCACGAATCAATATCATTAGTGGCGAGCTTGTAATTATCAGCAAACGTCACCTACCGCTACGGAAGGTTATCGAATCGATCGTTGTCGCTCGTCACGTAGCCCCGTGGCGAAGCAAAGTGAGTGTTTTCGCATTCACGTGTGTAAATAAAAATATAGGTTTCTGGGCATCGAGACAACCGAATCCGCATTCGGGCGAATGCGTAGACGTCGCCTTGACAGATGACCGACAAACGTGGGAACTGACCACGTGTGAGTCGCTGCTGCCTTTCATGTGTCGTAGTAGCGCCTGTCCTTCCGGTAAGTCCGCGCCAATTTGTCGCGCCACTCACGTTACATATTTTTGCAAATATTTCACTTAGATCTCGAGATGGACTGATAATCTTACGACACGACCTCTCTGCGCAGGCTCGTTCCACTGTTCGAACGGCAAGTGCATCAACGCAGCGTTTAAATGCGATAAGCAGGATGACTGTGGCGACTATTCCGACGAAATGGACTGTCCGGCCAACTGTCAATACTACATGGTGAGCAGCGGCGACGTTGTAGAGAGTCCAAATTACCCACATAAATATGCACCTCTCAGCAACTGCAAGTGGACGCTGGAAGGACCTCAAGGGCACAATATCCTCCTGCAGGTGAGTGCAGGGAGCGTACCGCAAACAACGACCGCACGACTTACGATGCGAATGCCTGGTCCGTTCTGCGTTTCAGTTTCAAGAATTCGAGACGGAGAAGAGTTTCGACATAGTGCAAATCCTCGTGGGTGGTAGAACCGAGGACAAGTCCGTGAATCTTGCTACTTTGTCCGGCAAACAGGAGCTCAGCAACAAGCTCTTCGTCTCGGCCTCGAACTTTATGATTATAAAGTTCAGCAGCGACGCCTCGGTGGAGAAGAAGGGTTTTCGCGCTTCATGGAAGACCGAGGCGCAAAAGTGTGGCGGGAGCCTTCAGGCGACGCCACAGGGTCAGGTGCTCACGTCTCCTGGCTACCCGCAGAATTATCCAGGAGGGTTGGAGTGCCTGTACATTATTCGAGCTCAGCCGGGACGCATTATGTCCTTGGAGGTACTGAAGTGTTCCATCCCTTCTCTTTTTCTTCTTTCTGTTTCCTTTTCGACATTCAAATCGAAACAACAGGTTCTCAAGTTTGTATGTTTAATCTCTTGCTCATCTTGCTTTTAGATAGAGGACTTGGATCTCGAAACAAATCGGGACTACATTTTAATCAGGGACGGAGATTCGCCCATGAGTCGACCGATCGCGCGTCTAACGGGAAAATCGGACGACAATCCTACGGTGATCATGTCCACCGGCAGCGACTTGTATCTCTACTTCAAAACGAGCCTCGGTGATTCCAGGCGAGGATTCAGCATTCGCTACACGCAAGGTTGCAAGGCTACAATCATCGCGAAAAACGGCACAGTTCAGTCGCCTTCCTACGATCTCAACGACTATCCCAACAATCAGGAGTGTCTGTACAGGATCAAGAATCCAAACAGAAGACCGTTGTCTTTGAAATTCGTCAGTTTCAACGTTCACCAAACTGACTACGTGCAGGTAAGTTTGTTGATCCTCTTGTGTGATAATAAATGATAAAGAGCTCGCTTGAGTCAAAAGCTCTCGTGAAATCGCCAGATATACGACGGTTCAAATACAAACGGCCTTGGCCTGCATCCCGTTAACGGCTTCACTTGGAACGCTCAACCCAAAATCACCCTCACCGCCGAAAGCGGAGAGATGCTCGTTAGATTCGTATCCGATGCTTTACATAGCAGTGCCGGCTGGCAAGCTGAGTTCTCCGCCGGTGAGTCGTGTATTTCTTATCACTATCGTAGAAAATATCTAAAGAGGAAACTGTCGCAGATTGTCCGAAATTAAAATCCGGCGAGGGTGCTCTGGCGTCTAGTCGGGACACAGCCTTCGGCACGGTGGTTACGTTCTCGTGTCCATTGGGACAAGAATTCGCCACGGGAAAGTCGAGAATCTCCACAGAATGTCTCCCCGGAGGCAACTGGTCCGTTACGTATATCCCGAAATGTCAGGAAGTGTACTGCGGCCCCGTGCCTCAAATTGACAATGGATTTTCGATCGGCTCCTCGAACGTCACTTATCGAGGTCTGGCGACTTATCAGTGTTACGCGGGTTTTGCTTTTCCTACGGGAAGGCCGACGGAAAAGATCTCGTGCTTGGCTGACGGAAGATGGGAGAAGAAACCGTCCTGTTTAGGTGCGTCCTGAGTTAGTCTCTCGTTACGAATCTATCATTAATTGTTCATCTCACGAATTAACGTATATGTTCTCGCATCGATTATCATCGTATCTGAATTTGATTGTTTGCTTTTAGCGTCTCAGTGCGCTCCGCTACTAGAAGCTCCTCATTCCAACATAACCATCCTGAACGGAGGTGGTCGAAGTTACGGCACGATCGTTAGGTTCGAATGCGAGCCTGGATACGTACGAAGCGGACATCCTGTCATTCTTTGCATGAGCGATGGTACTTGGTCCGACCAAGTGCCAACGTGTTCTCGTGAGTACAAGACAGATCGACTGTCTGCTTGACGCTTCGCAGTGGTAATAAATATTTCATTAAAAAAATTATCAAATCCAATTGGCTGGCGATTCGACAGGTGCTAAATGTCCACTGCTACCTACGATTAAGAATGGATTCGTCGTTGACACCGGTAGGGATTATTACTTTGGTGACGAAGCTAGAGTGCAATGCAACAGGGGCTACAAGCTAACCGGATCGAACATTATACCATGCGGCCCTCATCGATATTTCGATAATGTGCCGACTTGCGAAGGTGAATTTGCATATGCATTACACGATCGCACGTAATCAAGTTCATATATTTGATTAATATAATTATATACATCACGTGACGATGATAACGCAATGATCGCGTATTCTCTTGTTTGAATGTTTGTAGATATAAACGAGTGCGCATCCACTCAGTGTGACCTGGCGTCCACAGAGTGTATAAACTATCCCGGCGCGTTCACCTGCAAGTGTAAGCCCGGCTTTGCTCTTACCACAGAGTGTCGATCTATCGGCGATCTCGGTCTCATTAACGGCGGCATTCCCGACGAGTCGATCACGGTTTCGGGCTCGGACAATGGCCACACCAGAACCGTAAGAGACACGATATTTCACTTTGATATAACATCGCGCGCTAACGCATTCTGATCTCGCGTTCTCATTACACTCGCGTGTGCGTACTCGCTACGTGTCGTAGGGAATTCGCTTGAACAACGGCAATGGCTGGTGCGGCAACAGCAAGGAGTCGGGTGGTGCAAACTGGGCGATGATCGATATGAAAGCACCGACAATTATTCGCGGTTTCCGCACGCATGTCGTAGAGAGAAACGACGGCACAATCGCCTACGCGTCCGCAGTACGGATTCAGTATACGGATGAGCTTACAGACGCTTTCAAGGACTACACAAATCCGGACGGTACACCGGTCGAATTCAGAATCGTGGAACCGACGCTTTCCGTTCTGAATCTGCCAATGCCGATCGAGGCGCGTTACGTGAGATTCAGGATACAGAGCTACCACAACAAACCCTGCATGAAGTTGGAGATAATGGGCTGCACCAGGCTGGAATGCATCGACATCAATGAGTGCGCTGTAAAAAACGGCGGTTGTCATCAGAAGTGCATCAACAGTCCCGGTGGCTATTCCTGCATGTGCAACACCGGTTTCGAGCTGTATAAAGGCAACGGCACGGCTGGATACAATCTGGCGAAATCGGAGACTGGCGAGAGGGATGGTGATTTGTACCAGAGAAACAAAACGTGCGTGGCGGTGATGTGCCCGCCCTTAACGGCGCCGGAAAATGGAAAACTGTTGTCGACTAAGGTGAGATTCATGTGTTTCACGATGTTTCGATAAACATCGTTGTTATTGTTACTAATCTCGTCATTTCCCCCAAGTACAGTATGGTATTTCTAAGAGAGATCAGTATCTCTCTCAGTAGAGAGAGAGAGAGAGAGTCGTGATAGATACACCTATTTACACCTGAGATACACGCCAAGATTTGTTTTGCAGAAGCAGCATCACTTCGCTGACCTCGTTAGATTCCAGTGCAACTTTGGCTACGTACTGTCCGGGTCTGCGGCAGTAATTTGCACTTCCTCCGGCGCGTGGAACGGAACCGTACCCGAGTGTCAATGTGAGTGATACATGCATGCGTACACGTATGCTTCTTCTTTTTCTTCCTGAAGAAGTATTCCATTGTTTTCGTTTGATTCGCACGAGAAACAAGTCGACGATCCTCTGATTTTGTTTCAGACGCGAAATGTGTCTCGCTACCAGACGATAAGAATGAAGGTCTTGCCGTGAAACGGACCGACACGAACAGCGTACTGGTGCCCTTCAAGCAAAACGTCACTCTCGAGTGCAGCAGCGACGGCCGTTATTTGCGCAGCACCGTGACTTCCGCTTTCCGACAGTGCGTGTACGATCCGAAACCTGGCTTTCCCGATTACTGGCTATCCGGTTTGCAGCCAGCTTGCCCTCGAGTGGACTGCGGGAAGCCTCCTCCCACGCCTGGCGCCGAGTACGGTCAATATCCGGACACCAAGTACAAATCTTCCTTCTTCTTCGGCTGTCAGGACACCTTCAAGTTGGCCGGTCAGACCAATCGTCACGACAATGTCGTGCAATGTCAGCAGGACGGTGTGTGGGACTTTGGCAATTTGCGATGCGAAGGTCCGGTATGCGAGGATCCTGGAAGGCCAAGCGACGGCTATCAAGAGGCGCGAAGCTACGAACAGGGTTCGGAGATTCGGTTCGGCTGCAGAAGACCGGGCTATATCCTCGTGAATCCGCGACCAATCGTCTGCATTCGCGAACCCGAGTGCAAGGTGGTGAAGCCTCTCGGTTTGGCCTCCGGACGAATCCCGGACTCGGCGATAAACGCCACTTCCGAGAGACCCAACTACGAAGCTCGTAACATCCGTCTGAACTCGGTGACTGGCTGGTGCGGTAGACAACAGCCTTTCACTTATGTGAGCGTCGATCTCGGTCGCGTGCACCGCGTTAAAGCGCTTCTCGTCAAGGGCGTCATCACCAACGACGTCGTCGGCAGACCAGCAGAGATCCGGTTATTCTACAAACAGGCGGAGAATGAGAACTACGTTGTTTATTATCCAAACTTCACCCTGAGTGTGCGCGAGCCTGGAAATTACGGCGAATTGGCGATGATTACGCTGCCCAAGTATGTGCAGGCTCGCTTCGTGGTTATCGGTATCGTTACCTTCATACAAAATGCCTGCATGAAATTCGAGCTGATGGGATGTGAAGAACCGGAGACGGAGCCATTGTTGGGTTACGATTACGGATTCTCGCCATGTGTAGACAACGAGCCGCCGGTCTTCCAGAACTGCCCGCAGCAACCTATAGTCGTGCAGAAGACAGCCGACGGCGGCTTACTCCCAGTGAACTTTACCGTACCGACGGCTATTGACAACAGCGGAAGTATCGCTCGATTGGAGGTGATACCTCGGGGTTTCAAGACTCCCGTTTACATTTTCAAAGATACCGTTGTAAAATACGTGGCCTTTGACTACGACGGCAACGTCGCAATTTGCGAGATTAACATCACCGTGCCGGGTTAGTAGTGACGTACACGCACACACGCACACACACACATGACACACAGTATTATATGACAGGAATGTATACCATTCAGGCATTGCATACCTGTTATTTGCTAGAGAAGCAATGAAAAGTGTATGTATTTACTATAATTGTGTCTTATATTTCATGTAGATGTGACACCACCGAGACTGAGCTGTCCGCAAAGCTACGTAATCGAGCTGATCGATCGACAAGAAAGCTACCCCATCAACTTCAACGAGACGCGAAAGCTCATCAATGCTACAGACGCATCTGATCCCGTAAAGATCATCTTCGAACCGCAACACGCATTGGTTCAAATCGGCGAGTTTAAGAATGTCACGGTATACGCGACGGATCCCAGCGGTAACACGGCCCAGTGCCACTTCCAGGTGTCGGTCCAGGCGACACCTTGCGTCGATTGGGAACTAAAACCGCCGGCTAACGGTGAAATAAAATGCGTCCCCGGAGACAAGGGATTGCAGTGCAATGCCACCTGTAAGACTGGATACAAATTCACCGATGGCTCACTCATCAAAATATTTGGTTGCGTCAACAAACGTTGGACGCCCACGTCGGTGGTCCCCGACTGCGTATCCGAAAGTAAGTAGAGTTTCTCACACTAGACTGTGAGGAGAGACTAAATTTCGTTCATTTAAAAATGTTTTTTACGAAAGGTGTCTCGATCGAATCGAAAGCAAGATTACGTGCGGTAATCACAGTGATCATTATACTGCCAATTATCTATCGACTGTATGGAATAATTTATATTCGCAGATACGCAACAGGCTAATTATCATGTGATCGCCTCGGTAAGCTATCGTGCGAATGGCGCCGTTTCACGATCCTGCTTGCCAATGTATCAGGATCTGATGGCTCAACATTACACGAACCTGAGCACCTTTTTGTCATGGCGTTGCACTCTTGTCAATATGTATAACGTATCTTTCGTACAATCGATGCCTTCCCTGATTGAAGAGAACATTCTAAAGGTAAAGTATCGAGTCACGCATACACAGCCATTTCGCTCGAGTACATAAATACTATATTACGGCCAATCTCAGTGGGTTTTTCGTGCACTTGTCAAAGATAGACTTTCATTGAAAATCAAGTTTTTGCAGTTTCGGAGTATTCGTCATTTTTACCAGTTTGGTGAAATAAACGATGTCTCGTTTAACTCGATGAACACCTTTCACAACGAGATCTTTTTAATTCCATTTGCAAAACGATAGCCAAAATAATCGATATACTCTCGATCACCAACGACTAATCAGTCGGCGTGTTTGTTGCAACATTAATTTTAGATGGATTTCGTCCTGCTGGTCGTTTCTACAACACACGAGGCGCAACTTTACGATCATTGCGGCAACACGTTGAGTATCATCTTTGATTTGAAATTTGCAAACGACAACGCGCATATCGAGCCTCTGTTGAATATTTCTGCAATTGGTAATCAATGTCCGCCTCTTCGTGCTCTCAAGTCGTCCGTCACCAAAGGCTTCACGTGCAGTGTCGGCGAAGTATTGAACACAGATAACGCCAATGCTACTCGCTGTCGTAAGTATCGTATATCCAATTCTGATCCATATAGCGATTTTCACAGAATTACTTGCACTTTCATGATTTTCGAGGTGATTTTCGAAGACTACTTTCTTCTCCTTATCTAAGAGAAAACCTAAGTTAGATCCGCTCAGCCGGTTTTGTAAAGTTGACGATCCTAAGACTAAGCGTCAATTGCGCGTCAATTGACGAATGAACAAGAGGAAAAACAAGAGGAAGGCGTAACCTACTAAAAAATCACCTCGATGATGCGAGTGATCCCGTGCTGCACTGATTTATATGTCATAGAGCTCTGAATATAACAATAATAATGTTTTCACACACAGTACACTGTCCCGCCGGAACGTTCTCCGGCGAGAAGCAGGAGCAGTGTAAGCCTTGCCCGAAGGGTTTCTATCAAAACAGCGAGCGACAAGGCTCCTGCATACAGTGTCCGGCCGGCACTTACACCAAGGAAAAAGGCACAAAGAACATGGAGGATTGCATACCGGTCTGCGGTTATGGCACATATTCACCCACTGGTCTCGTGCCTTGCTTGGAATGTCCAAGGAACAGTTATACCGGCGAACCGCCGATAGAAGGTTGCAAGGACTGCCAGATCTGTCCGTCCGGTACATTCACCTATCAGCCTGCCGCGTCCGGTCGCGATCGCTGTCGCGCCAAGTGTTCACCGGGCATGTACTCCGACACGGGTCTCGCGCCTTGTGCCCAGTGCCCGGAAAACTTTTTCCAGCCTCAGCATGGCGCTACCACTTGCGAGGAGTGTCACGATACCACGTACACAGACAGATCGGGTTCGGTAGATCGCAACGAGTGCAAGCACGTCCAATGCACCGATATTGTATGCGAACATGGCGGTCTCTGTGTGCCATTAGGACACGATGTACATTGTCTGTGTCCGGCTGGCTTTTCCGGCAAACGTTGCGAGATCGACATTGACGAGTGTGCGTCTCAGCCGTGTTACAACGGCGCAACCTGCGTCGACCTGCCGCAGGGCTATCGGTGCCAGTGCGCCAATGGTTACTCCGGTATCAACTGTCAGGAGGAGAAGTCGGATTGTGCCAACGACACGTGTCCGGAGAGGGCCATGTGCAAGGACGAGCCCGGCTTGAACAATTACACTTGTCTTTGTCGTTCTGGATACGCCGGCTCCCATTGCGACACAACGGTGAGTATCCATCGTTTCGCACGATAATAATCAATCGGAGCGGTCGATATCAGTTTGCGGAAAAGGAAAGAAAATTTGGATAGAAAACACGGATCAATTACGCTCAATGCGTATATTATCGCGCGTATTATTTTCTCTCCTAACTTAATCATTTTCTCTCGCAGATAAATCCTTGCACGGGCAGCGATAATCCATGCAATAACGGCGCAACCTGTGTGGCTCTCGAACAAGGCCGCTACAAATGCAAGTGCCCGCCCGGATGGGAAGGTCAGAGCTGCGAGATCAATATCGACGACTGCGCTGAGCGACCCTGTCTGCTCAACGCGACTTGCACCGATCTGATCAACGACTTTTCCTGCAACTGTCCGCCTGGTTTCACCGGCAAGCGTTGCCACGAGAAGATTGACCTTTGTTCCGGCAGTCCCTGTCTAAACGGTATCTGTGTGGACAATCTGTTTAAACACGAATGCATCTGCTATCCGGGATGGTCCGGCCCGGCCTGCGAGAGCAACGTGAACGAGTGTTCGTCTAAACCATGCCGGAACAACGGCCAGTGCATCGATCAGATCGATGACTACACCTGTACATGCGAGCCCGGTTACACCGGCAAGCAGTGTCAGCACACTATCGACGACTGCGCGTCCGATCCTTGCCAGAACGGTGCCACGTGTATCGACCAGCTCGAAGGTTTCGTTTGCAAGTGCAGACCCGGCTACGTCGGCTTGCAGTGCGAGGCGGAGATCGACGAGTGTCTGAGCGATCCCTGTAATCCGGTTGGCACGGAACGCTGTATAGATCTTGACAACACTTTTGTCTGCCACTGCCACGAAGGTTACACCGGCGCGTTCTGCGAGATCAACGTGGACGACTGCGCGTCCGATCCTTGTCAGAACGGCGCTACGTGTCGAGACGAGGTCGCTGGCTTCAAGTGTACGTGCGCGAATGGATGGACCGGCGTACACTGTCAGACAGACATCGGTACTTGCCAGAATCAACCGTGTCAGAACGACGCTGCCTGTGTGGACCTATTCTTGGACTACTTCTGCGTGTGAGTAGAGCAACATCTCCCCCGGGCTCCTTTCGTCGAGTCGGCCCAAAAAGTTTGTCGTTTTGTTCCACTGTCCAACATGAAATTATCCAGTTGTTCGCTCGAACGGCGAATTAATTGGTTATTTTTGAAGAAAAATGCTAATTTTAGAAGAAAATGGGAAGCAAGACATTTCCCTCTCTTAATAACACTCGAATCGGCGATCGCGTTGACTTGTATATACACACATGAGTTTTAGTAGAGAAACAACAACATTTTTCCAACTATCTATCCAACGTACAAATCGATTTCCAATTTTTGTCCAACTTTGACAGATGCCCGTCCGGAACCGATGGCAAGCGATGCGAGACCGCACCCGAGCGTTGCATCGGAAATCCGTGCATGCATCTAGGTCGTTGCCAAGACTTTGGCTCGGGCTTGAATTGTACCTGCCCGGAAGATTATACAGGTATCGGTTGCCAGTACGAATACGATGCTTGCCAGGCGGGCGCTTGCAAGAACAGCGCCACTTGCATCGACGAAGGAACCGGATTCACCTGTGTATGTCCTCCAGGATATACAGGTAATTTGTAATCAGTCGGAATCGGTCGTGCGAATTTCCAATGTCATGTGGCGACAAATTAAATATCTCATTTTCTTCGCGTTAGGTCATACTTGCGAGGAGGATATAATCGATTGTAAGGAGAACTCTTGTCCACCATCGGCAACATGCATTGATCTTACCGGCAAGTTTTTCTGCCAGTGTCCGTTCAACCTGACTGGCGACGATTGCAGAAAATGTAAGTTGAGCCATCTTGTGTGCACGCGAACGCACGTATTGAGAGGTACTGACATCTCCAAAGAGACATATTGAGCCATTCCTTGTTTGATAAAAATATTGAATTATTCCAGCGATTCAAGTGGACTATGACTTATACTTTAGTAATCCAAGACGCAGCAGTGCGTCACAGATCGTTCCGTTCTTCACTGGCTCGACAAAGAGCTTAACGGTCGCCATGTGGGTGCAATTTACACTGAGAGACGGCAACGGAAATTTCTTCACTCTTTACGGCGTTAGGTATATAATATTACATACACACACACACCCACACACACACACACACACACACGTTAATGACCCAATAATTCATCACAAACACGATAGCATAATCGATAACGTAAATTCTCTCTCTCTCTCTCTCTCTCTCTCTCTCTCTCTCCCCCCCTCTTAGTTCGTACCCCCTCGTTTGAATAATTTGATCCCGTTTTTTGTTCAGTTCGCCGCACGTTCCAACGAATCGTAGGCTTATGATTCAAGCGCACAGTAACGGAGTCCAAATATCCCTCTTCCGCGATCTGCCAGACGTACACTTGCCGTTTGGAGAATACGCGACGATAAACGACGGACAGTGGCATCACATTGCGGTTGTTTGGAATGGAGAAAACGGCGGAGAGCTCACTCTAATCACAGAAGGTCTCATCGCCCAAAAGACCAAAGGCTATGGCAGCGGCAGATCGCTGCCAGCTTAGTAAGCGTTTTCTTTTTGTTTTCTTTTCCTTTATTCTGTTCCTTTTTGAAAAATTCAAAATTACGCTAATTGTGTTTCCTCTTTTTTTCTTTTTCTATGTTAATGTGTTTTATGAGAAAAACCAATATCCATATAATTTACCTTTGTTAAAGCGCGTGGGCAGTGCTGGGGAATCCACAGAGCGAAAACACAAAGGGCTACACAGAGTCTGGTTTCCGAGGTCATCTGACCAAGGTGCAAGTATGGAGCCGCGCGTTGCACGTGATTAACGAGATTCAGAAGCAAGTGCGCGACTGCCGAACGGAACCAGTTCTTTATCAAGGTCTGATACTCACATGGGCGGGATACGACGAAACTATAGGTGGTGTCGAAAGAGTCGTACCATCGCACTGCGGTCACAGGGTCTGCCCGCCTGGTTATGGCGGTAACAAGTGTCAGCAGCTCGAAGCCGACAAGATTCCGCCCAAAGTGGAATACTGCCCGGGTGATCTTTGGGTGATTGCAAAGAATGGCTCATCTATCGTGACCTGGGATGAACCGCGTTTCAGCGATAACGTTGACATCGCAAAAGTGCAGGAGAAGAATGGGCACCGGTCCGGACAGACTCTGCTCTGGGGCACTTACGATATCAGCTACGTGGCTTACGATCAGGCTGGTAACTCGGCCAGCTGTAATTTCAAGGTTTACGTATTATGTAAGTATAGTTTACCCCGTTCAACTCGTCAATCGCTTGCGGCTCGAGCGAGTTTACACTTTTCGTTACAGCGGACTTTTGCCCGGTGCTGGACGATCCAATCGGCGGCACGCAACAATGTAAAGATTGGGGTTCCGGTAGCCAGTTCAAAGTTTGCGAGATTTCTTGCAACACCGGACTTCGATTTTCGCAGGAGGTTCCCAAGTTTTATACGTGCGGCGCGGAAGGTTTCTGGAGACCCACTAGTGATCCTAGTTTGCCTTTGGTGTATCCCGCCTGTACAAGTGAGCAACTGTTTCATCTGCGTTTTGTTCCTGGCGATCTGACATTCGCGATCCAATTCTCAATCAACGGGTGTGTTTCTCTTTACAGCTGCCACCTCAGCACAAAGAGTCTTCAGAATTAAAATGAGTTTCCCCACATCGGTGCTGTGCAACGAAGCTGGCCAGGGTGTACTCCGAAACAAGGTGAAAAACGCCGTCAACTCCTTGAACAGGGATTGGAATTTCTGTTCGTACTCTTACGAAGGTGATCTTTCCTTTTTACGCTATATTGTGCGTATCATGCGTATCGCTCTCGTGGCTTATCAAACACCTCGAAAATCATACAAAAAAGTCAATAGTTGAAACGCGTTATTCTTTTTGTTGTCTACATCGTATGTGTGTATTATATCTAGGAAATCGCAAATGCAAGGACCTCGATATCGACGTACAATGCGATCATCGCGTACGTACGACAAGAGATACGAGCGAGGAAGATGGTGGAACGTACATCATCTCTGCGATTATGCCCACAAAGCCGTAAGTGTCGGAAAAATTATGAAAGATCATTTTACAGAATAGCGATTGCAGAAAATCACAGAAAAATCACTGTCCGATTACGTACGTCTTAAAAAAAAGAAAAGGAACGTTTGCAGAAAGTACGACTCGCGAATTTTCCTTTTTTCAACGACTCCTTTTTGTGTCGACTCCTCAGCCGCAAAGCTGCAAACGCTTCGTCTCTTTCTTTTATATCTAATCGTCGATTTGATCACCGCGCCGTAAATCGTGACTTGCTTTTGTGTATCTAGTGTCGATCTCGTTTAATCACTAAGGCTCGCCGTCGGTGTATCGCCGTCGGTGTAGCGTCGCGCTCACAGTAACACTCAGTACTGAACATTTTTGTATTACTTGTGTTTGCATCATAGAACGAGACAGGGTCGCCAAGGCAGTGATACCTACGAGGTGGAGATCTCGTTCCCGGCGATAAAGTAAGGACAGCTCGACTCATGCCAAGCGCGATCCGATTCATTATTCAAGTGTCTCACTACTCATTACAACCCCTCTCAATCTCTGTCGCCTTTCGATTTACGACACCTAATCGCTCTGAACATGCACCTCGTGATCTATAACCGTCATCCCCGCGTCATCATGTTCCAGAGTCTATGTTTCTCAGTCCTACATGCGCGTAACTCTCATACATCCGGAGATTTATAACAAACGTCGAAATAGATGGTGAATCGCACTAACGACTAATCCTACAGCGGCTCGAGTATCGGCTCTCGTGGTTTTACGAGAGGAAAGACTGATGTGCACGTTGTCACTAACTCGACCGCTAACGCGCACAACTGGCCACTTCTGGCCACTCACTAGCTCATGTGGGATGTAGCGTCATCGTAGCGAGTCACGAAGGGGAGCGCTCCTATACGACGACAATATATGATATGTAACCATCGTGTAACCAAAATTCACGTAGCCGAGCAACAAAACTTTATCGCACTATCGTATAAGCTTATAAATATTTTTAGCACTGCGGACGCGATACGATGCGCGTTTGTAGGAAACTAGGGAATATGGTAAAGTTCATTGTTATATGCTTGATTGTGTATTGCGCGTAATCAATCGATACGATTGAGAGATCGTTTCGAAGCACACCGCATTCAAAGGGTTTAAATATGCAGAAACGCTCGAAACCGGCAGGTCGCACAAACGTACGTAAGTGAGATGGAAGTATGGAAACAAACGCTTTCAACTCATTTAAATCATAATTGCCGAGAATATGAGCGCGATTTAACCTGCCTGCGACACAACAGACCGGACCGCCTTATATTAACGGCTGTACATATATGCGCCAGCTCTCCTACACCCCTTCCACGTTGCTACGAAAGCAAATGCACCGTCGATTAACACCTATCTGTGTGTCTTTCGCAGCGACCCAATCCTGAATGTCAATTCGAACGAGCGCGCTACCGTGCAGACATTGCTCGAAAGGCTGATCCTGGAGGAGGGTAAATTCGACGTCCGGCACATCTTACCCAACACCGTGCCTGATCCTGCATCTCTTGTTCTGGAGTCCGATTATACTTGTCCAGTCGGCCAAGTTGTCATGGCGCCGGATTGCGGTAAGCCAAGTAGTGTCAATCCATTTTGAAGGAGATACTTTGTGCCCCCTCCCCTCACATTATTCTATTATTGAAATCAAACCGATGCTGTGTGACATTGCAATATCGTGTCAGCCGAGAGAAGGTTTGATTTCAAAAAATTCACTGTTTCGATTTTGTGCTTTTTCGTAAGACCAATACACGATTCTACGATATAGATACGCAGCCAAAAAACATTGAGGTCAATCAACACTCGTGAAAAATTATCCATTTGCAGTGCCATGCGCGGTCGGTACTTATTACGACGAGACGAGGAAGCAGTGCGCATCTTGTCCAGTCGGCACTTATCAGAGCGAATCCGGCCAACTGCGGTGCAGCTCCTGTCCGGTGATTGCCGGTCGACCCAGCGTGACCGTGGGTCCTGGCGCGCGTAGCGCGGCGGACTGCAAAGAACGTTGCCCCGCGGGCAAGTATTACGACGACGTGGCTGGTCTTTGTCGTAGCTGCGGCCACGGATTCTACCAGCCCAACGAGGGCAGCTTCTCCTGCCTTCTGTGCGGCCTTGGCAAGACAACAAGGACTGCTGAGGCAGTGTCACGCGAGGAATGCCGTGACGAGTGCGGATCTGGACAGCAATTGGCCGTCGAAGGGAAATGTGAGCCCTGTCCACGCGGCACGTATCGCACTCAAGGGGTTCAAGCGTCCTGCCATGCCTGTCCTATAGGCAGGACGACTCCTAATATGGGATCTGCCGCCGTGGAGGAGTGCTCGCTTCCAGTTTGCGAGCCTGGAACCTATCTTAACGGTACTCTCAACGAATGCGTGGAGTGTAAGAAGGGCACGTATCAATCGGAACCACAACAGACATTTTGCATCCCGTGTCCACCGAACACAAGCACCAAAGGACCCGCCGCTGTGAGTCTCTTTCTTCCTGTTGTAAAAAAGAAAAAAAAAAACATGTATCTATGCATTTGTGTCAAAGGCGAGGAAACAACTTACGAGTATTTGCTTGAAAAAAAAAAAAAAAAGAAAAAAACTGACTATGTCGACACGTTTGTTTGCAGACGAGTAAGGCGGATTGTACGAATCCGTGCGAGACCAGCGGCGAGGAAATGCACTGCGATGCAAACGCCTACTGTTTACTCATACCGGAGACAAGCGACTTCAAATGCGAATGTAAACCCGGCTACAATGGCACCGGAACCGTGTGCACGGACGTTTGCCTGGGTTATTGCGATAATGAGGGTGTCTGCCTGAAGGATTCACGTGGGCAACCCTCGTGCAGATGTAGCGGCAGCTTCACCGGCAAGCATTGCACAGACAAGTCCGAGTTCTTCTACATCACCGGTGGCATAGCGGGTGGTGTTATCTTGATTATTATCGTAGTATTGCTCGTCTGGATGATCTGCGTGAGGTTAGTGAAGGACATTTACGATAACGAAGTTGACGCGTCTGCATGCATGTAGTACAATCGCGAGCAACGAAAGCTATCCACCACTTTTCGAGCCACTTTCCTCTTATATTTATTCAAAGTCTAGTCTTTCCCTATTCCCAGCAACATGCTTCCGTCTTCTCTTTCACATTTTTTTGTTGAACGCGAGTAAATGTTAAGGAAGAAATCACATCTTCACAGAGAAAAACAGAAAATAGACAAAAGCCAGTCAGAACTTACACTGGTGATCAAGTTGTCATAATCGACAGTTTCTGTTCTTCTACTAGCGCGAGTTCTGATTGACTGAATAGCCTTTCTGTTTTCTGCTTTTCCGCCAAGGTGTGAACTCTTTCTAAAAAATGGCCTCCTTTTTCTTCCTTTGCCCCAAGTATATCTGAAAGGATATACTGAAAGGAATATCTGAAATTTTTAATATACAACATTTCTTAATTGTAATTTACAATTTGGGAAGTGGCAGAGATACTGGAATGGATAGCATTTGATGCTCCTGTGCGATTGTATATACATATATTGTAAATAAGTAAATAAATATTTTCCAATTGAGAGAATTATCTTTCTCGGCGATTGATGTTCCTCGCCGACCAATGTCTCACAAGTTAGAATATCACTAGCATCAAAGTATCCAATGTGATAACATTTGTTCTCGACAGAGCTTCTAGAAAGAAGGAGCCGAAGAAAATGCTTACTCCAGCGACTGATCAGAACGGTTCTCAAGTTAATTTCTATTATGGCGCACCGACGCCCTATGCCGAATCGATAGCACCGTCCCATCATAGCACGTATGCTCATTATTACGACGACGAAGAAGATGGCTGGGAAATGCCCAATTTTTACAACGAGACTTACATGAAAGGTAAAGTGAACAGTTTTACTGTATGTAAAATAGTTGTGTGCACGAAAAAAATGCTGTTATATATATGTGTGTATAAATATGTATATATATATATATATATATATATATATATATATATATATATATATATATAT